TAGCACCGCAATTGACCCAGAGACGAGTACACGCCGTTGAGGAGGACCGACGGAGGAAAGGCTTGAAGCGCAGCTTGTAATGAACAGCCACACCTTCTGCATGTTATACGAATCATACGTAAAAGGGTGCTCCGAGTGAGAAGTATCGCACCTTCAATACCTCTTTCCGGGATCGTTCGCACGGGGATGAGAGTTATGGAGGAAGGCGCGGTATCACTTCGGAGCATGCTCGCTGCCTGCTCCGAAACGAAACCTCGCGGAGCTTTCTACTCCGACCTTCGACACCGCTTCCCAGCCATCACTTATCAATACACTACCTCGGTAGACACCATTTTTTATCGTTTCCGATCTACAGATGCACCTGCCACATTCATCCAAGTCGACCCAGCGAAGTATTGCTGAACCTTTCTCACTCTAGTGCAAGCTACCCGCTTCGGCTCGTAGCGACCAATAGGCGCAGAGCACCCAGACATGTGCGTCGCGCCGTACTGCATCTCAACTATAGCCCGTGAATGCAGCAAATCAGAACAACTGTATTTCTGCTGATGACGACTAACTACTAGGTTGCATCTTCAACTTTTCTACATGCGATATTCGCCCCGCTACCGTTAATCCCACCTTCCCGTGTCAACGCTACCGACATGGCAGCATGCTGGCTCCACGAGCTGTGATTGGGATGTTGCATTCCGTGAACCTCTGTTCCTGCAGGCATGACGCAGTAGAGACGCAGAAACGTCCAGGCGTAGCTTGCCTGGATTCCTGAAGCTTGAAAATGGCTCAATCTTCTCGAAAGCTACAAAAAGGCCCGGAGAGCCGGTAGCTTTGGGCTGGCAAGTTCGATCGGCGTCCTCCAGCAGCCGTTTGTCAATATGAAGCTTCAATACTTTTCGTTGCTGCCATTGGCATCTATCGCCAGCGCTAGCTGGTCGAAGAACATCAACTACCGATCGCCTTCGGAGCACCACCCTGCCCTGGGTGTCTCAATCCACAAGGTAGTCAAAAGGAACGATCCAGCAAGCAGCTATGCCGCCTCCAGCTTGAACTTCACCCATGGCGTCGCTTCAGGCGACCCATACCCCAACAGCGTCATCCTCTGGACCCGCGTCGCCCCTCAAAGCGACAACTCGCAGTCCAATGTCACGGTCACCGGCTACGCACCTCTTTTCGACCACGACAACGAGAAGTACGTCCAAGTTTCCAAGGCGCCGGTATGCGTAGAATACAAGGTGTACGACAACAAGAACTGCTCCACAACCGTCGACTCTGGAAAGGTATTCACGAGCTCTGACGTAGACTTTACCGTCAAGGTCGAGGCCAAAAACTTGAAGCCTTACACGAACTACTACTACCAGTTCAATGTGTGCGGTTTGGAGAACAAGAGTCCTCTTGGACGTACAAAGACCACGCCAAATGCGGACGACGATATCACCGATGTTAGCATTGCCGTGTACAGCTGTGCAAACTACCCATTTGGTTTCTTCAACGCCTACGGAAACACCGTTCGCAAGGTGCGTGCTGAAGACTGGTCATATTTTCTACTGAGCTAATCGTCGAACCAGGACTCTGTTGATTACGTCGTTCATCTCGGTGACTACATCTACGAATACAAGAATGGAGATTACGGCTGGGGCAACTCGCTTGGCCGCATTCCTCAGCCAGACCGTGAGATCTTCACTCTCTACGACTACCGAAAGAGGCTCGCGACTTACCGTACCGACCTTGATCTCATTGCTAGCCATGAGCAATTCCCTTGGATTCCTGTTTGGGACGATCACGAGGTTGCTGACAACACCTACCGTGACGGCATGTCAGAGCTCAATAACACCGAAGACTCTTTCCTCCGCGACGGTGGCGTCTCAGTCGACCAGCGTAAGATGAACGCTGTTCGCGCTTACTTCGAGTGGATGCCCATTCGTCAAGTCGACATGGATGACAACCTCAGAATTTGGCGTTCGTTCTCCATCGGAAAGCTTGTAGACTTGATGATGCTCGACACCCGTCAATACGATCGCTCCATCACCGATCTCTACTGGAACACAGACTACGTCCACGACATCTCCAACGATGCCGGCCGCTCTCTGATGGGCTCCCGTCAAGAGAACTGGTTCTACCGCAGTCTTTCCGAGTCTTCTGAGCGTGGCACAACATGGCGTATAGTCGGATCTCAGATCGTCTTCTCGCGCGTCAACCAATCCGCTGCCTACGGAGAAGACAACCCGCTGAACTACGATGCATGGGACGGCTACCAATCGAACAAGAACCGCACGCTTAACCACTTGTACAGCAACAACATCAACAACAACATCTTCCTCGCAGGTGACAGTCACGCCTCATGGGTCAGCGACCTAATCTGGCTCGACGAGAAGGACTACGACTCCAGCACCGGCGCCGGCAGCATCGGCGTCGAATTCGCCGGCTCAGCAGTCACATCCCCCTGCCCCTACGGCGCGAACATCACGCTCGCAACCGCCAACAACTACTCCTCCATCATCCAGTCCTCCAACGCTGAGCTCCAGTGGCAGGACCTTTACTACCGCGGCTACTTTGAGCTGCACTTCACCCACGACGAGATGACCGCTAACTTCTTCGGCCTGCCGACTGTTGTTACGCGCAATGGCTGGGAGATTCCCATTGCCAACTTTACGGTCAAGAGTGGGGAGAATAGGCTGCAGAGGCCTGTTGCTGGTGGTATGGTGGAGAGTGGAAGTTTGAAGGGAGGAAAGACGGTGCAAACGAACTTGACTATCGATACCAACAATGGTACATGGTTTGTTAGTCAGGCGGATTTGGAGGTTTTGTAGATACAACATGGGTAGCTGAGGGTGCATGCCCACTAATGCAAGCCGGCATGCGTGTAGCCACCACGTTTCAGCCTTGGCTACCACAGTATATCAATACCACATTACTGGATATTACCATGACAGTCTTCCTGAGGTGCTGAGTACTTGATGTACATGAGCGATCATGGTCTTTTTTGTGGCGTGTGCCTCTGTTAGACTTGTCGCTACCCTTGCTACCATCTTCCTCATCTCTACCTAAAGTGTATATACCAGTCGTTTTTGCTGACGCAATTCGCCGATTCAGAGAGCACTCCGGCTCTAATGGGTATTGCAGAGGTCGTTTGCAGATTTTGTGGTGGCATTCGTTCAACATTTGTCGAGGTGGGCACATTTGGAGTATTTGTTGCACAGGATATCATCTTGGGGGATATGTTTTCTACAATCCCCACGCATCTGTGCCATTTTTCTCTACACGACCCTACAGCTGTCCAAAATGCTTTCCCATCACCTCTTTGGTGGCAAAACATCCCCACGCCTTGGCTCACGTACAGCGACAGCTTTGAAGATCCTCGAACGCGCCTGCACATTCGCGCACGTATCGAGCTTGATGGTCAAGCACTTTGCTTCTGGGCAGCACAAATTAGTCACACACCACTCATTAGTCCCACAATCTGCACTAGATGTACAGCTGACGGCCTCGTCGCAGAACTGGACATATGCGTTAGTGTCCGCGCAAGCAACGTCACCCTCGGTGTTGGTCAAACACCCGCAGGACTGGTCGGATGTGCAATATAAACCCACGTCGCAGACGAGGGGTTTAACGCCCCCGGGGCAAGTTGTTTGCTTGGGTGGGGCACAGTAGGTAGAGGTCGCGGTCTGAGTTATGGTCGTTGTGGAGGTGGGTTGGGCGAGGGTGAGCGTAGTTTGGATGGTGACTATGACGGTGTTTGGGAGGGTAACGGTTGATATGGGTACGTTTGTAATGACGACAGTGGCAGTTGTAGAAAGGGTCGGGCGAGTGGTTATTGTTGAGGTGCTGCAGCCGGGTGTAGTCTCGATGCAGGAGCACAGAGTCTTGACGAAGGAGGCAGCTTGCTTTTGGAGCGAGGAGAAGATTGGAGCAAGCTTGTCTTTGTCTTGGTTGTTGTTGCGTGGAACGATGCCTGGAGCACACGTTGTTATGGTTGTGGCAACTGTACTTGTCTCCGTCAGGGTGGTGGGTTCTGGAGTACTGTGTGGTTGAGGTTAGTAAAGAGGGGACGTTGATTAATCTAAAGTGTTAGACTTACATAGTATTGGTAAAAGTAACCGTGGGGCCGTCGCCTGTGGTTAGGGGTATCGTGACCGTATCTGGTTCAGTAGTCGCTGTTGCCGAGATAGTTGTGGTTGAGGGGATGGTAGTCGTGAAGAAGCATGTTGGACGAGGAATCGGGTACTTTGAAGTGCAGAACGACTGCGCACCTGGATGCTTTGCAAGCGGTGTAAAGAATGCAAAAGGCAGCTTGGAGCAGTACGCAGCAGTCGCACTTGCCCTAAGGAAAAGCAGTGCAAATGCGAAGACGGTGTAAAAAATAGAACCCATTGCTGGAGAATCAATCTGGCAGACTGAAGACGACTCGAAGAACCGAACGTCTGCTCATTTATCAATCATTGCTCGGCTTAGCTGTCACCACACTGCAAGACTGTATTGTGAGAGGCGTTTTGTGGCGGGCTGAAGCGCGACTCTCTCCAGCTTACCCCTGCTAAACATGTTTGTTGCGGTCGATATTTCCAGTATGAATGTGTGATTTATGAATAACAGCGTTATGGGGTATCTTAGATCCAAAAAAAATCAAGTCTCGAACAGGTAACAGCCCTCTACCAGGTGTCTCAAAGGTCGTAATCGAAGTTTAACACGTACTCCATCTGAGGTGTGCGCGAGGGCGCGCCAAGCCTTCCTGGCTCGGCCGCCGACACCCCCGGTGGGTAGCTCGTCTCGAAAAAATCGCCATATAGGCAACACAATTACCCCATCATTTCGAAATTTGGATGGGATGGCGATACAACCATGGCTCGTCGGTCGCGAGACCATCAGAACAGGTTGCAAAGCGGAAATGCCACATATCCTCGCTCACAAGTCGGTCGGTATATATTCTCGCACATCTCTGTAAGCTGCTGCTCACACTACATCAGAACCCCTCCAAATCATAAACCTCTACCTTTCAAAGCTATCGCTACACGATGGACACCTTCAACGACGCCAATCACCTCGTCCTGCGCGATCCCGAGGACTCTCATCCCCAGGTCCTGAACCTGGGTGCGCCTCCTCCATCAAGACCTGCTTTCGTCAGCTCGGCAGGCCCTCACGGCGTCGTCGACCCCATCCCCAACCAACTACTCGCTCTCGCGGATCAGGTCTCCAACTTCTACATGAACCTGAGCCCCGCCCAGGCTCAGCGACTCCTCGTCGACCTCCAAGAGATACATTCAGATGTTAAGGAGGGCAAGATACAGGTGCACGCCAAGTCTCTTGACACCGTTACCATCAACGCCACTGCCCTAGAGGGATACTTAAAGGTGGCCGTGCTAGGTGGTAAAGATACCAAGATGGTGAAAGACCAGATTGCTGCTTTGTGGGATATATGGCGAAAGAGGAACATGAAGGTAGATCCTGTACGCGACGACTACCGGGCCCGCGTCTGGGGTAAGGAGAGCGTCTTGTGGATGAAGGAGATCTTGTGTCTCGCACATGGTGTCTGATGTGTGGATGGGAATGCCGGTGGTGGTTGTCGCATGGTCTGACGCTGCTGCGGAGGTCAGAAGGATGGTCGCATGGATCCGGCATGGTGTTGCAAATGGCCGTCGAAGATGGTGATCATGGCTCCGCTGTCGTTGTCGCTGTCGTGGGAACGGATGGGCTGCATGTCGTGGATTTGGCGTTGTCGGGCTGGTTGACTTGTTGGGATAATTGGGTTAGTGGCTTCATTAGTAATCGGACGGAACAAAATTTAATCTCCACAAAGTGTGACACAAACCGGGGCTCGAGGCCGCCGTATGAATGTGTATCAGCCCCTTCGTTAATCTTCATCGGGCTCACGAAGTCGTTCAAATAGGCGGGCGCTCTTGAACATACAGCTGAGCCCCTTGTCTCTGCTAATCGAGGCGAAGGCGAAGGCGAAGCGTGGGAGGAAAGGCAGTTCTTGGATCGCGAAACGCCGTGTTGTAACAACAGACTACCCCGCAACCTAAGTGACCGACATTATCGAAAGAAGATGTGGCTTGGCTGGACGTGTGCTCGTTTCCCGATTAGGACTGTAGCGCACCACGATGTTTCCGTGTACGGTTACGGCCAGGGCCAGATGGGCGGTGGACAACTACCTAGGTAAGGGCTTGACTTAGTGAGCTTTCTGAGTTGGTGTCGTTGTAGCAAAGCGAAGACAAGTCAGACAAAAAAAAAAGAGAATCTAGGTCGCAGTAGGATGGATCTTCATGGATGGCCAGGTCGAGAGTGCGGGGTCATGGGTGGCCTGAAAGTGTTGATGGTCTCAACAAGAAGCTCGAGTGAATTGACCAGAAGGCCATTATGGTCTTTATGACTATTAGGGCTACGTTAGCATCATACAAATTAATGTAGGAGGCGGATAGATTGAGCACTCGAATCGAGTGGTGGCAGAAAGAAAAATTGCAAGTTGTTCATCGGCATTGCGATAGCCAAACGCAAACCAGAACTATCGCCCAGTAGACCATCAAACTTGCGGGAGGGGCGTTTCTATACTATTTACCGCTTAGAGTCGATTGCCACCCCTGCGACTCAGTCGTATACCCCATGACTGTCAGTCAATGAAATTTCGCCATTGGGCCACGATATCCACAGCGTTCAATTCATTGCATTGCGCATTCTTCTTTAGCGACAGCTAAAATGCCAAAGAGACTGCTTCCGTCTGTGTGAACATATCGAACGGAAATGGATTCGATATGAATCAACGCCAAGACGTGGATTATTTCCACTTGCACGGAGGAGAACTCGATGTGCTACACAGCGAGATCAACGATGTCTCAGCAGATGCAGAACTTGACGAGGGTGACAAAATTCCGCGATCAGAGTCTCCAAGGTATTCGCCTGGCTCTTCAGCTTCGTCGCAGAGCTCTTTGCCTGCCTCCGTGGCTCCATCACCAAGGACACCCGCTTCACCTGCAGTTCCAACGCGCGCAGTCGCTTTCTAGGGGTAGCAGGACCGATGTCTTCGAGCTTGGCGCATCTAATGATCTGCTGATATCTCATTTGTCTTGTGTCGATATCGCTTGAGTAGTGCGGAAGGATGAGGAGAGCTGAGAGGTACGATCTGGGAGTTTTCGGTTTGTCTACGTAGCTACATTCTTAGGCTGATCTTAATCTTCTGTTGATATTAACATGCTTTTCGTGAACTATTGGCGTTGTGATTGACTTAGACTGCTCCCTTCCTGAAACCAGCGGTCCTTTTCTAGGTTTTTTTTTGTCTTCAACCAAGCAAGCTTTGGCGTATCACATCTAGCGCTAGCATCCTTCTCATTGTATCTCTCAGCCCTCACGTAGGAAACTAGAGGCCTTTGAACCTCCCAGGCGGGTCGAATTCTTCTAAAGATACGTAGTGATAGTGCATACACTTGTTGGCGAAGGCCGATTGATCATTTGAAGGTTTGCTCTGATGGTTGAAAGAAAACGTAACAGGACGCCAGTACGGCTAAGCAGCGTTGTCTGGGCATTTGGGCCGTCGTGTTGCTAGAGATCCGGTCCCCGGCTTGTCAATTCGGTAGTGCGCGGAAAGCGTGAGGAGGAAAGGCGGAGAACAGGCCGCTATCGGGTGGGTCTTGGCATTGGCACATTGGTGATGTCATCCTGTCAGCTGGAAGCACCGGGAGCTTCTTCTCCCTGAACATCACAACTAAAGTCTGACAGTTTACCACACATGCACGGCATTACAGCAGATTGCGATGGAGACCAACGTTACTCCAAAATACTGTACAATTCAGTGATGAGTGGCATCCTTCCAGGGCACCCACGGCGCTGCAGCCAAGAGTACCCAGGAAGTTTACTAAACTTCTCCGCTGCGGACACCAACGTCAACATCAATCGAGACCCGAAGGTCTATTTCAATTCTCTGGGGAAACGATAGCGCCTTGCGAGTAGGTTTGGTCGACATTAAGGCCAACGCGAGCTAGCGCCTTGGGCACGTAGTCCCTTTCAGTCAGCACAGCCACGCGGGTAGGTAGATCATGGCTCAAAAAGGAAGACTTGGTGAAGGAGTAAGCCCGATCAGGAGCTGGGGTAAGACTACGGATCTTACTCTACCCGCACCAAGATAGCTAGGCGATATCTTGGGGGCGATCGTGGGCTTGATGGATGCAAGCTCGCCTTGCAAAAGTATGGGATCTTCCGTTACCAAGACGGTGGACGGCGTCTTCTACGGCACGTTCGAGCGCTCTGCTCATTGGGCACACATGCTAGGTTTCTAATGGGCTCAACTCTCGTTGGCCAGATCCATGCAGACGGCAGCCTCGCATCGGGGTTCACTCCTTCCGTCTAAGTTCTTGTCAGCAAAATGGAGATACCAAGACCACTACCCATACCGCGGGTCACGCCTTACATCGCATGTACGGGCTCGGCCATGGCGGAAATGATCTCAAATCATCCTGTTGACTTGGCGAAACCTACGTTGAAGATTTCACCAAGACACCAGTGTCCATGTCCAAGAGTCTTTACCACCGATCCATGCTTGCAGTGCGTCGTCCACCGATGTCATCGGGCCAGGGCAGAAGGGAAATGAAGTTGAGCTCTGATGGCGAAGTGGAGAGCCGTATGTGTATAAAGGACCGCACAGGATAGCTTCATTTATCTCTCATCAGCATCTCACATCCTCCTCACTACATCCACATACCATCCTACAGCTTCCGCTACTTACACAACATCCAACATGCATTTCACCACCCCCGCCCTCCTCGCTCTCATCTCCGCTCCCCTTGCCTTCGCCGCTCCCACTGCCGGCAAGCACGACTACAAGACCGACTGCAAGAAGGATTTGGAGGCCAAATGGAACGCTAAGGATAACGGCTGGAAGAAGAACGAGAAGCTCTTCTACTTCGACGCCGAATACGTCGTCAAGGCCACACCCGACCAGGTCATCGCCAACACCGGCGCACCTGCACCCGGTCAGCCCGGCGCCAAGGGCCTCTTCAAATACGGCATCAACATCGCTGAGAACACCATCTGCTACAACATCACCCTGAGCGGTGTCACTGGAGACTACCAGTCCCCTGCGCTCACCGCGACTCACATCCACGAGGCTGTCAAGGGCAAGGCTGGACCACCCAGACTTGTAAGTTGACCTCCTTTTCCTCTTGCATTCCGCATACTTGAGGCGATTACTAACACACATCTCACAGGCCTTCCCCAACCCTACCGGCCCCGATGAGCGCCGCACTTCCGTTGGCTGCCTCAAGGGTCCCTTCACCGTTGGCGTTATCAACCCGACTACCCAGAAGGACCAGGCTGATGGCTTCCACGTCAAGCAGATTGTAGCTAACCCCAAGGGCTTCTTCACTGACTCGCACACTGCGCAGTTTGTTGCTGGTGCTGTTAGGGGTCAGCTTGGATACTAGTCCATGTTCTGAGGCTGCACAGGGGAGAAGAAGTAATTGTTGAGGATAATACCTAATAATTTGGTAGTTTCTAATGTTTAAGAAATGAATGCATTATCTATACAAAGTTTTCATGATGTGACTTTTCCGTGGTGGTTTCCGTGCTTGATGTTCGCAAAGGGTCTTAATCGCAACTTCGGTACTTGTGTACCATGGTTAACATGTCACGAACCCTGAATAATTCGTAGGCAGCAGCGCAATCAAGAGAGACTGGAAAGTTTTGCAATGTCACACTATGTAACAGATCCCTTCGTCGCCTATCGCCTATACGTATAAAAGGCTACTGCTAGGAAGTATTTCACACTCCTTATCCCACACCTCAGAAACATTATCAGTGAGTACTTCACCTCTGGTCTTGAGCATTACTGACGCATAAGAATCAGCTCAACGTTTCAACACCAAAGAAATGCAACCTTGGGACATGCCTATTCTGACCATCCTGGCTATTCGCCGCCATCGCCGGGGACTTATAGAAGAGCAACAGAAGTTGATTGAAGAGATCAAAGAGATCAAAGAGCACACTCGAGAGATTCAAAAGCAAACTCAAAAGATGAAAGAGCAATCTCTCGCTCTAACTCGACAAAGTGAAGAGTTGGAGGATATTTCACGGCGTATCGATGTGCAAGAGGTCCGATACGGTACAAAGAAGCTTTATTACCTGAATTCGGCTGCTTTATTATACCCATTTCTTCTTCTCGGATCTATAGTCTTCTTAATAAAGAAGCGTTAAAGATGGGTTATGTTGGATATGGCTCGTGGCTACACTCTTCTCTCTCGGAATGATTTCGGAACATCTACGGTGGTGAAGTAATCACTTCTCCACATTGGTAACATTCAACTCAACTCAGACTGTAAATAGAAACGACTCCCTTCTCCACTCGATCTGGTTATATGTATGTCTTTCGGCTCTTGCTTGATGTCCAAAAGTCCACGCTCATGCCTCTCTTGGTGAAGATGAACAAGGTGTCCAAGCGCACTTTCCGTTCTGGGCCATGCCCTCGTGTTTGCTACCACTAGCGCGTCTCGTCTCTCACCACTTACCACCACCGAGCTGCTTCCAACACCAGTCCCCAAATCGTCTGCTCAGCCAGTTTGACAGCCATGGCGCTCTCAAACCCCGCCTCAGGTACCGCGTTGTCAGTGGCCTCGACACCCGACGCCGACCTCTCCAGCGCACTCGGTATGCTCGCGATGCAAGACCCCTCCATTCCGACACCTGGCAAATGCCACATCGATAGATGCGCCGTCGAGACTCTGATACAGGTGGCTGAGAGTCTGGAGTACAAGGGTCTATGTTCCTTGGCACGCGCCTCGAAGCGCTACACAGAGGCTGCGCAGGATGTCCTCTACCGCTTTGTCGACCTTCGTCCAGGCGGCGAAGATTGGGAAGATTGGGAAGATTCAGACAACGAGTCCACATTCGACCAACCCACCAAGTCTGCTCTCGCCGTGTTTCTCTGGACTATCAAACAAAAGCCTCACTTGGCGCCCAAAGTCCAGGATTTGTGGTTCCTGCCGCGTTCAATATCCGTTGAGTATCCGCAGCTCATGTATTCCGGCGTGTCGCCCGTCGCTCTGCTGAGTAGGCCCAGAAGCGATGTAGTCGAAGTGGATGAGAAGAAGCTCGCTTGCGATCTCCTGGCACGTCTTACCGAGTTGCGTTCTTTGACTATTACCGCTTTGGACGATTATACCTGCAAGACCGAGTTAGAACACCCTGGTCGTCCGGTACATGAAATCAATAAGGACATCAATAAGGACATCAACAAGGACATCTTCGGAAGACTCCCAGTCCCCATACACAAGCTTGTGGAACTACCCTGCTTCTCGAAGCTTACATCTATCTGCCTCTCTCATGGTCATCTGGACTGGGCGGTCGTTACATTACCTACGCTTCATACCCTATGCATAGGCATCAAGGCCAAGCTACTGAGACCGAGCAATGCTGCCAGAGCTCCCAATATCACATCGCTCACACTGGAAATGGAACCTGGAGCTCCGAACAACGACTTCGTGGGAGCGATCTTCTTCCTCCATCATCTCCCAAACATCCATACATTGACTTTTGGTTCTTATCTGCGGGACGTGGGTCACCCCAAATTTCCTCAGAGTACTGTAGACCATCTCGGCTGTTCAGCCTTCGGAAATACTGGCTGCTTCAGCCCAGAGGCTGTGCAGATGTTGCTTATCTACGGACGCTCAGTCGAGAAACTGACGTTCACGTACACAGATCCTGTACATTTCGCCGACACCTCAACTACTCGCTTGGACGTTCGTGAGTCCGAACAGCTACGACGAATACAGATTGCTGAGTGTGGCCTGGTGGATAGTCACGACTTCCAGCGACTCGAAGGGTCCAGTCCGTCTCAGCTGCTACCTCGTCGCATTCGGACTCTAGTCATCACCCACCCTAGGTCTCCAGGACCAGATGACGGGGACCGCAAGTCAAAGCTCACGAGCTGGTTAGGAGAGCTGACGAAGACCGACTTTCCAGATCTGGAACGAGTTGAGGTTGTGTGTTCGGTTGGATATGGCGATGGTGTGGGATTCAAGCAGCGTCTCGAGCAGTCTGCAGAAGTTCGCTTCCTCGAGACTATCGGTGTGGCAGTGGTGGTAAGGAAGGAGTAATCGATAGTAGGGTGCGTGCCGGCGTTCAGTCGCCAATCGAGCGTCGGACATAGCCATCTTCGAGATGGTACTAAGAGACACCTAAGAAGTACTCGCTGGAAGTCTAGTCGAACGACTTGCCTCGTGTTAGGTAGCATACACCTCCGGCCAGGCATTAACAGAATAAAGAGTTTCCACGTACAATAAGCCCATCGTGCGCGTCTTCGTATAAATGTCTGTCCTGTTCTTGACGTTGGAATTTGCGATCTCTGAACGAACACATGCGTTAGGTACGGAGATGACGGATGTCTGACGCGGTGCCACCTGACGATAGTCTCAACGTGGCGATGTCGTTGTTAGCAGCTGCGGCGCAAGGCGACCCGTTTCAGGTTGCCTCATCAGTCGTATCCGCAAGGCATCAGTATTGATTATCTTACTCAGCTGCGAATCTGCCCCTCGCGCATTCCTCCACAACCTCCCTTGTTTGCACCTCCACCCATCATCTCATTTCGACTCATCGCGCAGTCTTGCATCCCGCGTGTGCGCACGATCCCTTTGTGCGAGCGGCCGAACAACGCGGCACCCTTCGGAGTTGTCGTCTGACCGATCAGAACGCTTCGGCGATTGGATACTGCCGTATACGAAGGCAGGACTATTGTTTCAGCATCGCGCGATACCCGTAGTCCCGCGCTGTTTCCGTTGTGTGAGGGAAGCTGGACAGCGCCCCTGGCACCATCGTGTTCCTCGCATCGCACGTATTCCGCTAGCGTGCTAGGCACGCTCAATTACACGGCACCCCACACTTTACCATGAGCATCGTCATGGCATCCGCATCGATAAAGGCGAGCGAGCTGTCGCGCTGGCAGCCATGGCTTGCGGAATACAATATTGCTGGCGTTGAGCTACAGGGTTGGATAACCCTCCTCGCATTGTTACTTCCCCTACTATGCGTCGTCGCTTTCAGAAAGTACCGCAAGATGCAATACCAGAATAAGAAGCCGTTCCGATTCCTGGACCTACCACAAGAGCTGCGGGATATAGTGTACGAGCATTTCCTTGACGACCCCATCTACCCGCCACCAGCGCGCAACGAGATCCAGCGCTCAACGCTGAACTGGATGCGACCCGCACGCTGGACATCCACATCCACATCATCGCCTGTGCGACACGAGAGTAAATGGATATTCCTAGCGAACAAGCAAGTCTACTCAGAATACATGGACATGATCTGCAAGCGCAAGACGTTCCACTTCAGCGTCACGCCCCAGACATACAAGCCCGCCACCAGCACCCCTCCATCTGCATTCCCAGCGCCATCAACCCAGGACAACAGAGTATGGAACATCTCCCCCGACCTGCTCTCCAAAGTGCAAAACTGCTCCCTCAAATTGGTCACAACATCCTCCATGCTCGGCGTCACAGACCCGCGCTCCATGACATCCTCATCCTGGACGCTCGGCCGCCGCATGCGCGAGCAACTCAAACACATGGCCAACGTCAAGACCTTTACTCTCGACGCCAAAGCCCTCGGCGATCCTCTCTGGAACCCGCTTTGGATCTGGTACCATGCTTCCCAGTCGCTCAAGATGCTCGGCACGGAGTACTCTGACACCGTGCCGCGGGGGCCGCAGCTCACTGGGATAACATTCAGTTTGGATACGTGGAGCCCGGGCGAGAACTACTTGAGGAGAGATGAGGCGAGTGGTGGGCAGTGGGTGTGGTATTGCATGAAGAACCATCTTATTGGGACGGATATGGGTGCGGAAATGACGGTGAGGGAGTTTTGCGCAAAGTTGTATCAGGAGTGCAGTATCTGTAGAGTGGATGAGGAGGGGGATACGACTGTGATTTGAGATGTTGCGCTGGGCTGGCCCTGGCGGTGTTTGGGCGGAGAATTCTTCATCGTATTGATAACTCTGGCGTTTGTTAGTAGCTTTTTCCTGCGTATCGCATGCGCATGATTGTATTCCTAGTACTATTCTTATATCATTCCAGAGAAGCTGTTCTCGGCCTTTACTTCTTCTCCTCCATCATCTCTTTTGCAGGCGCAGGCAGTGTCGCATACCGCGCCATGACCTCGATGTTCTTTTCCTTCATCATCTTCTCATCCGTCTTACTTATCTCAGCCAGGGTCTTGAAGTAATCGATGTAGAACGCGGGGGTATACGTGTTGAAGAACTTGGACTCTTCGTTTGTAGGGTTCGAGAAGGTGTGGGGTGCGCGGATGGGTACGGTAACGTAGTCGCCGACGTAGGCGTCTTGTATGGCGCCGTCGGGTGCGTGAAACTGCGGGGACGGTTAGCTGTGTTATCTGCAGAAGCTGGATGGAATGGGAGGAAAGATAAAGACGTACCCGAACCATTCCCTTGGTAACAAGGAACGTCTCGTCGTGCATCTCATGCCAGTGTGCTGGTGGCCCAGGTGTGTTTGGAGGCAGTGTGAACTCTGCAGAGCCTATGCGGTTGTCTGTCCGCGATCCATCTTCCATGACTCTGCAAGTGATTTGACCTAGTTTGAGAATTTCGCCTTGCTTTGCGGAAACAAAGTTTATGGGGCGGCGTGGCATCTTCATGCTTGCCATTGCTTGTCGGGCTTCGTCATCCATTGTGAGCTCGAAAGTTGGAATGTGGAGTGGTGTTGTAGAGTTGGGTGTCTTCCTCGCTGGTGTATTAGGTAAAGGTGAGCTGAGATACGCCGAGAGACTCTAGGTCAGTCATATACATAAGTGTGGTGGATGAAGAGGCTCAAATGTAAGCGCTGGACTTTACTACTGCGGAGAGCCGGCGGATGCAACATGTATCCCCTACAGATTGCTCGGATGTCCGCGCCAATAGATGACTGCGGGAGAACATCGTTCAACTATAGGAAGACATCACGTACCCACAAGGCAGTTTCATACGTCAAGTTTGTAGGATGGTGCGTTGTCTGAACTTTGCTGAGATGGTGCCGTCGCGGGGAATGATGCCCCGCCAGCCGCGCCTAACTCAGGGTTAGCGCGGGGCCTTTCCCCATTTGGAGGGCCGGATCCTTCCCCACCTTTGTCCGCCCTGTACGCCCTTCCATTTACCTGCAGCGTACCTGCATGGCTGCCTGTCACTAAATATCGTTGTTACGCGTCTGATCGCTGCCTAGGAAGCAGCATATTCATCAAGACTAACCTGTCCACACCTCAAGTCTACTAAAAACCAGCCAGCCCAACGCAACCCCCAGCATCTCTGAACAGCCACAACTCCCTTCAAAATGTCGCAAGAGATTTCACAGAAGATGCCGAAGAAGATGTGGAACGTCCTTGAGAACAACCCAGAGGTCATGAACCACCTGGCTCAAGACCTCGGCCTGGACACGACAGCGCTCTCTTTCTACGACATCTACTCACTCACTGACTCCGACATGCTGAGCTTCATCCCGCGACCAGCGGTAGCACTACTTGTCATCATTCCTCTGACACCAACCTGGGACGAGGCTCGAAGAGCAGAAGACAAGGACAAGACCGAGTACGAGGGTAAAGGCGACGCCGAACCCGTCATATGGTTCAAGCAGACCATAGGAAATGCTTGCGGCAGTATAGGCCTTGTGCACTGCCTGCTCAACAGCGACGCTGCACAGCACATCCAGCCCTCTTCAACACTAGCCAAGATGCGCGAAGACGCGCTACCAAAGCCCATCTGGGAGCGCGCGAGAGTGCTCGAAGACTCCGACGCGTTCGAGAAGGCTCACGCAGACGCCGTGAAACTGGGAGACTCAGCCCCACCTGCAGTGATTGAGGAGGCGCATACCGGTCAGCATTTCGTGGCTTTCGTCAAGGCGAAAGATGGGCACCTGTGGGAACTTGAAGGCGGTCGCATGGGTCCGCTTGATCGGGGTGTGTTGGGGGAGGACGAGGATGTGCTTAGTCCGGCTGCGTTGGAGAAGGGGATTGGTCGTTTGATGAGGAGTGAGTCTGAGAAAGGTGGGGATCTGAGATTTTCTGCGATCGCGCTGGCTCCGGCGATGAAGTGAAGGTGTCGCATCTGGTCCATCTGGTACGCCAATCGTCCCCCGCATGTGGGCTTTTGCTCCACACCACTGCAACACATCTCACAACCAAGGCATTTATGCTCTTTCAATCACACGTCTTACATCCGCATGCTCGTTATGCAAAGACATATCTTGCATTGTGTGTTCTCCTTTCCCATCTACCAAAAGTTTGAACATACTCAGTCTTCATACCCCGCTTCACTCATAAACGGACTCTTCCCCCGTATGCTCTTCCCAAACCTCAACAGAATCAACGGAATGAAACTCAACGCCAACGCAATAAACCCCAACAGACTACTCGCCCAATTAAACCCCAACGTACGATACATACTCTGCGTCGCAAGCGGCAAGAAAGCAGCCATAAAGTTTTCCAGAAACGCAATGCCCGCGATAGCACTCGCAGCATACTTCGCGTACGCATCAACCACATACGTCGTTACCCCCGCTGTACTGCAGAACATACCGAAACCCACGAAAGCGAGCGATATACTGGGTACGATCCACGGGATGGAAGAGTAGGACGTCCAGGCGAAGTAGAACAGTCCACCGCTCAGGCCGATGAACGAAGCTGGGATGCTGAGATAGAGTCGCGCTTCTGGGATCGGCTTCCCTGGGGTTTCAGTGTTGCGTCTCGCGGATGCAAAGTAGATGCGATCTTGGACTAGTGATGCGACGAGGCCGATGAGCTCCCCGATTACGACGGCGGATTGCACGAGGCCTGTGCCGAAGAATGTCCAGCCGTACAGCTCTGAGAAGACTTGTACGATGGATTGCGTAAACATGAAGGCCGTCCCGATGCAGAAAGCACTCCATAACCCAAAGGAAAGGACGACGCCTTCGGTACACAGCATACGCGTTGGTCGAACGAGCGTCTCTTTGAGAATTTCGCCAAAACTTGTGTGCTCTTTCTCAGCCTGGGCATACACCTCTTTCCCCGTCTTTGCGCGAATATGACGTGCACGCTGAGTGAGGATGACATCTGGTCGCACCTCAGGAAGAAGGAAGAACAGCACCGGCATAAGAGCGCTGTAGAAGATGATTTGACTCAGAAAGATCCTACGTCTAGATTAGCCAGAGTCCCGCGCAAGCAACTAAAGCATATCTTACCATCGCCAAGTCGTATACTGAACAGCCAAACTACCAAACACAGGCCCCATATTAAGCCCCGCAAGCAATGCGAAGATGTAAAGCGACGTCCCGAAACTCTTCGCTCTCCCATCCCTCCAGATATCGCTTACAATCCCCGACGTGATATTCGCAAGTACGCCCGAGCACGACCCCGTAATAATCCTCGTTATAATCAACGTCGCGAAGTTCTTCGCCAACGCCTGCGGAATGATGAAGATGATCAACACGGCGTAGATGGCCATGTAACTCCACCGCACACCAAAGTTCTCCATTAAGGGCAGTCCTAGTAGTGGTGCTGCGGCGCCTCCTAGGTTCCAGCTTAACACCGGCCAGTACGAGTGCGGAAATGCTTCATCGCTGACGTTGAAGCTGGTGTTGATTTGCTCGGCGGCGGATGTGAGCATTGTTCCTGAGACTTGGACGACGAAGGTCATGGTGCAGGCTAGAAGGGTGGTCCGCCATTTCTTCGACGGAGAGAAGTTGAAGGGGTTGGATGGGTCTGTTGGTGAGGTCCAGGTGATGAATGTAGGATCGGACTTTGAGGTGGGCGGTGGTGTAGATGCTCCTGATATATCTTGGTTCGGTCGATGATCTCGCTTTTCCTCAGTCGTCTGCGAGCTCAGACTTGCCGAAGATGTCGAAGGCAGTGTTGGAGAAGCCATGATGGAGGAGAAGCCAAGACTAAGAGCGGACCTAGCGTTACCGGGTCTGGCTTATAAGTCGGGTTGTTGAAGGCGAGGGTGCGACTAAGCAGCAGTCACCCAATGCTTACACACACCTTCACACCCTTTCCCAGTCCAATCACAGGTAATATGCTGTTGTAGCTCGAGTGCGACTCATGTAACCAGACGCGTAGATGCAGCTATCCGCAGCGGCACGCGCCTTTTGCCGTGAAATTGCCTTCACTTCCTGTCACAGTAGTCCCAAACGCCAGTACGTGTACGATCAAGAAGAAGCCCTTGAGACACAAGCTTTTCACAAGCACCAAGCCCAAGAAACCGATGTTGTCTGGGAGCTTGGTAGTTGAGTGGAGTATGGAGAACCAACAACAAGCTCGCCCCATTTTGCTCGGCGGTCACCATGCGAGGTGCAGACAAAAACCTGACTCTCGCTGACATCACGGTTCATAACATGCCTGACTAAGTTCGCTGGATCGCTCGTGCGGCCTTGTTAACTATAACGTAACGAAAAGTGGAAGCGAGGCAAGCGCTGGCTTGGCGGGCCGTCGGTCTGGCATTGTGGGGCGGGGAAGTCTAAGATCGAGGAATCCTGGGGATGGGGATTGGTGCACATGATGAGTGAGGTTCTTTGTAGGGTTGCGAGGGTCTTAGCGATGGAGGATTGATGATGGTTGAGGAGATGCGATGAAGGCGTTGAGCCGGGATGTAGCCGAAGATTTTGACGCTAAACTCTATTTGTTTGTCTCGACTTTATCAACTTCTCATTCCGGTCTTCTTACACATACCTATAGATGTACCCCTGATCTGGCCGCTTACGCATAGTCCTCTCTCGTTCCCTTCTCTGCACTCCGATAAATCGCCTCAATCATCTTATGCCTCACAACAGCCTCCTCCCAAGTCGTAACACTGCCCTTGCCCTCTCCAGCCCATGCATCCCAAGCCCTACCCACGTTGAACGAAGTGTCTGCAGCGTTCTCGACCTCAACCTCTTTCAATCCCTCTTGGCCCAGGGCAATTTTGACTGTAGGCTGGAACATCTGTACATGTCCGTTCGGTCCCTCCAGCACGAGCGTACCCTCGGATCCGATGATCTCCCAGTAGAAGTCCCGTCCGGTGCGTGAAAACCCTGGCGCATATGTCACGTCGACGTTTCCGCCGCCGTTGATGAGTTCTGCGGTTATGGAGACGAAGTCGTGAGAGGTTTTCGCCTCCTTTTTCCCGAGGGGCTTGTAGTTCTCGTCTACGAGCTCGAGCTCGGGGTATCTGTTCGACAGCACAGCGGAGATGGAGCGTAGTTCGCTGGAAAAGACGTAGCATAGAGCGTCGACGGCGTGGCCGAAGGGGATAGTGAGGATGTTCGCGCCGTTCTCAACGGGGTGCATGTACATGTAAGATGGCATAGTTGTGCCGCCGAAGATCATGCCCTGTTGGTTTCTGCGTTAGCAAGCTTGTTCGTCCCATAGACCACGTACTTTCCATTCAGTTTCAGAATGATAGACATGAGAACTCACATGACCGAACATTGTCGTCCCCAAGATCTTGCCCAGCTTCCCCGACTCCACAATCTCCTTCGCTTTCAGAATTGATGGGTTCTGGCGTGCTTGCAAGCCCACCATCGTCCTAACACCTTTCTCTTTAGCCAACGCCGTCAATTCTTCTGCTTCTTTCTCATTGCGAGATAGTGGCCATTCGCAGAAAACGTCTTTTCCCGCTTCAAGAGCCGGACGGATGAGGTCATAGTGTTGGGGCACGTTGACGCTAACAGCAATGATGTCTACGTGAGGATCTTGGGCGACTGAGCTGGGAGAGTCGTGCGTGGATACAGAGTCTAGAGAGTACTGTTTGGCGGAAGCCTGAGCTGAAGCGAGAGAGCTGTTCTGAAGGGCGGTGAGCGCATAGTGCGGAGTACGTTGGAGGTAGGGAAGATGGGACTTTGATGCCCAGGATCTGTTGTTGTGTCAACTACCGATGCTCATCAGTTCAGGAACAATGCGAACGTACCCTTTAGCGGACAAGCCAATGAGGCCGATGCGCTTTTGTGAGGGGGTCATGATAGGTCAGTACGGCACGCGACTTCGGAGGATTGTCAGCACGGTAAACGGTGAGCAATCAGATGCTTACTCGAAATAGCCAATGCGTCCCAGTTTCATATATCAAACAGCGGAATGACTTTGCATTCCGGTATTTCCGCAACCTCACATCCAAAGCGGGTCCGGCCGATTGGTGTCGCGTCATTGTCGCGTGGCATGCATGACGCCATTCGCAGCTCCCCCGCTTTTCGTCCGGACGCGCTTGACATCCAATATCTCGGTTTGTCTACCATCTCGCAAAATGCATGTCCGTGAATCTGGCATCACGGAGAGAATTGCACTCAATGTTTTTGAAATGATTCCTACTGACACAGTATATCCTAATGTACAACTTAGGCGTGTAGTTCAGGCGTCGGGTACAACTCGGAAGCAGCGACTCAGCTGGTATGTGTGAACCGTATATCCAACCATATCCATGAGGCTCTCCTATGATGTCTGATCCATCTCCTCATCTTCGTCTTCACCGTAACTGTCCTCGTCATCACCGTAACTGTCCTCGTCATCGCCGTCATTACCATCCTCATCCCACCTCTCAGGGTAACATCCATACAGTTGCGCATGATCATAGTCTTCGTCCGCAATACGCGCATGGTCCTGCCCCCGTGTGTAAGCCTCGTTCACGAAATACGGCCGCGAAGTCGCCAAGCCAAGAGAAGGCTCAGAGCCCACAGCCAGACGACTTAACGCCGCCGCACTGTTCGGGACGAAAGGTTTAGCCGATGGAGATAGCACCCCTGAAGCCGACGTCCCAAAACCATACGGATTCTCCGTAGCTTGAAAGTCACCGGTATTACCAAACGTGCCTGCCACCTCTTGTCCCGTAAACGGCATCCCAGTCTCATTCTGCACCAACTTCTTCGTACTCCATCCTTTGGCCTGAGATAGATCTGCATAGTACTTCTCGTTTTGGCACTGCTCGCAAAAGTACGTTCCGTGTCTAGCTTTCAACTTTCCGATCCTATCGAGGCAGTCCTTGTGGTACCAGCGTACTCTGCAGTCCTTGTTCATACACTGTGTGATCTGGACCTCGTTGGTGCGAGCGGGCTTGCGGCAGGAGCAGATTAGGTCGGTTTTGGCGGGTAGATGCTGGAGGTGGGTTTCGAAGGCTTCTTTGGTGACGCCAAATGGCGCGGTATAATTAGCGGCTGGGTCGCGTTTGCGGTACATGGGCGCCTTCGGTGAGTGTTTCTTGCCTGCGGGTTTTGACAGAGGGCTTGGCGTTTTTTTGTTTGACGATGCTTTGCCTTTGTTCTTCGCAGGCGTATACTCGCCGCCCGGTCCATCTGGGTCATATTCCTGTTCTGATATGTCGGATGGTACATCGCTCAAGTCCGTATCGTCGCCATCGACGTTTTTGGTCTTGACCGCGCGTTGAGGTGTCGAGGGGCCTTCAGGATTTATCACCGTGAAGAAGTTGCGGATGTCGGTGCCCTTCGCTCTGGCCATACTCTCTCGCTTTATACGGTGACCGGTGAAGAAGCCGCGGACAGCGTTAGTATCGATATCGCGACCGAACCTGCGACTACCGCTGCCGAAATCTGGGATACTGTCTGGTAGCAGTGACTTACTGCCGAGCTTTTCGTAATCTTCGTGTTGTACAGACTCCGGATCTCGATGGACGTAGATGCGCGTCTTTGAGATGCGCTTCTTTGGGGTATCAGGAGTCGGCGGCGGGGTGTTGTAAGGGTAGCTCAAGGATGGGCGTGGGGAGTAGACACAGTTGAGACTAGTTGAATCCAGCGGAGTTGTGAAAGAGCGTGGAGAGCACTGTGGAGAAAGCGGTTCACCAGCGCTCCTTGTGCCCCCAACGAAGAGGACATTGTATGCACTTGTCCATGAGGCCTCGCGATCCTTGAGCGTAGGAAAGATTCCAAGACTGTGGTAAGAGGTGTAGTCAACGGGCTCTGTATGTTGAGATTCGTCCGGGGCGCCATCGAGGTATAGCGAGCCAGTAGTTGAACAGGCCAGCCCTTCAACGCTCCAATCGTCCCTCAAGTCGCCATCCTCCCTCAGATCGTACAAATCTTCCTTCGATGTAGGACGCCGAATAGGCCGTATTAGGGAATGGAAGTGTCCAGTTCCTTGAGGTTGATCGAAGAGCCCCTTTGTAGACAAAATCAGTAAATGCTTCCATGCATGCGACAAGGTTGTCATGATGTTGGGTTATCGGCAGTAACATACATATATAGGATGTTCGACGAGACGCACCTCCGCATGCCTGTCAACAAGCTCTCCGATGCAGCCCAGACAGTAGGTGGGCAGCTGCTGACCTCGAGACACCAGCTTTCTAACCACCTGTGTCCACAATGGATCCTTCATCCTTGGTCCGCTGCGGCGAAATGAAAAGATCCTACCGGCAGCTACGATGATATCTGAGGCCGGCTCAACAGTTCCCCAGTCAAGCAGCGGCTCGAGTGTGACGACGCGAGAGTGTTGAGCTTGTCCAGTGGCCTTTCTCTCTGTATCTGGACAGGAGGGGTTGCCGCAGGGTTCCTGGGAATTGTCATTGAAGATGAAGACGACGTCGCACATTATTTGATATCGTGTTCCGGATCCTCTTCCTTCGAGGAGCTGTATGACAAGCTCTGCATGCTCAGCGAGAACCTGATCACAGCTCCAGCGATAGGTTTGGGCAGCGTCCATAAACCTCAAAGACTGATGGCCTGGCTTTGTAACGCGAGAGGGCTTCTTCCAGAGCGTCGTTTGCAGCTTGAGATATTGCTCGGCGCTATCGTCTAGCGTAGGCGTTGTTATGCCCCGATCCCGAAAGAATTGGACGAATTCTTCGCTGGCTTCCTTGCCGATCTTAGGGAACAGGTAATGGGCGCTCCAAAGGTCATCTTGATTGGTGTAGAAACCTTCGAAGGAGCAGTCGCTAGAGCTCTCGCCCGA